AAAAAAAAAAAAACTCCTTATTCTTGAAGAATAGAGGTTCCAAGGACATCATGACACTCTGGGACCAGGGCTGAAAGAACTCTGATCTGACAGATGCCCAGCAAATTAACTCTCAGGGTCCAGGAATCATCAATGAATCCCAAACAAACTTCCTCAAAAGCCTTCTACCAATCCAGCCCTTTCATGCACAAAGAAAGCTAAATTTTAGATATGGAGGGGAAAGAAAAGAAATATAGGAGAAATCTACCTATTCTCCCCTGCAAGGTGGGTTTCCATCTCAACTGAAAATCTTTATTCCAGAGCCTCTGCCCTCTATTTTTGGTTTGGAGAAGGTTCAAGCATCTGACTTTATACCAAGCTCCTCAGGCAATTTTGAGGCATAACCAGGCTAAGTAACAGTGGGTCCAACAGTACAGAGAGGGAGAATTTTCTAATCTGTTACTAACTGTCCCAGCAATAAAGTAGACTTTCAAAAGGTGAGGGGAGCTCAGGAGGGGCACTCCACCCTTTGGTGGGAAATGCCCTGAAATCCCAAGGGAAGAGTTCACAGTCAAGCAGCCTCCTTTTTCCCTTACAGCAGTGGTTCTCAACCTTCCTAATGCTGCAGCGCTTTAATACAATTCCTATGGGTCGCGGCAGGACACTGCAACCTGGGTTGAGAACCACTGCCTTACAGTGTATTTCTCTGATGACTGTGTCTCATCACTTGTCCTCTGCTCTCCTTGCTGCCTGCCATGAAATCTCTACCAAGTCTTCCCTCTACAATGCCACCTTAATACTCTTAAGTACCCTCCTTGTGTCGGAGTAGAAAGTAAACTCCTAGAAGACTTGGAGTTAAGTAGAATCAGATCATTTCTGAGTACCTTTAAGAATTCTGCATCCAAGACACTTTCCTCCTCCTGGGCAAGGTCAAAGAAGAGCTTATTGATAATGGTTCTTTTGCCAACCTGAATTGGAAAACAAGATAAAGTATGACTGTGGAGAGGGATGTAGGTAAGTCTGACTGCTTGCCTAACACAGATGCCAGGCCTGTTCTCAGACCTAATCTTTTTTTTTTTTTTTCTGAGATAGGGTCTTACTTTGTTGCCCTCAGTAGAGTACTGTGGCTTACAGCAACCTCAAACTCTGGGACTCAAGTGATTCTCCGGCCTCAGCCTCCCAAGTAGTGAGACTACAGGTGCCTGCCATAACACTTGGCTATTTTTAGAGGTCTCACTCTGGCTCAGGCTGGTCTTGGACCTGTGAACTCAGGCAATCCACCCGTTTTGGCCTCCCAGAATGCTAGGATTACAGGTGTGAGCCACTGTGCCTGGCCTCTAAGGCCTAATCTTTAAAAGCATATCCTCTAGAGTCAGAAGACCTTTTCACCTCTGGAGGCACCCTAAGCCGGGGCTTCTGGTTTGGTGGTTGCTAAAGTCAAGTTACTACAGACCCATGTGGTGAGTGTTCAAAAAACACCCCAACTCTAGGTGCTGGGCCACTGAGGAAAAGGCAGCAGAGGAGGCCAAATCCACCCAAGTGAAAACTGGCCTAGGCAACAATTCCATCTTCTAGCTCCCTGTGGGTACAAGTAGGCCTCCCAAGTAGCACAAGGGCACAAGTTGAGGTCCAATTGGCCTCAAACCAGGAGAGTCCAAATAGGTAAAATATTTCTCAGTTTCAGAAATCATTTCATGTTCCTGTTCCCTGGTAAGGAAAAGATGTCTTCAGCTTAGGTAGTCCCACCCTAGCACCCTCACCTGGATTCGGCACTGTGGGCAGGTCCGTCTTGGTGCTGTCTCAAACCACTGAATTAGACTGGAATGAAAAGCAGAACAATGGACTGATAAGTCCTGGCTTGGGTAGGGACATAGGTCAGGTAGCCACTCTGACCACAACAGGGTTTATCATGCTCCTCCTCAACCCAGTGGCTACCTATACTATTATACTATTATATTATTTTTATTTACTTATTTATTTATTTTTTAGCGACAGAGTCTCACTTTATCACCCTTGGTAGAGTGCTGTGGTGTCACAGCTCACAGCAACCTCCAACTCCTAGGCTTAGGCGATTCTCTTGCCTCAGCCTCCCGAGTAGCTGGAACTACAGGTGCCCACCCCAACACTGGCTATTTTTTGTTGCAGTTTTCCCTGGGCTGGGTTCAAAACTGCCACCCTCAGTATACGGGGTAGGTGCCTTACCCACTGAGCCACAGGTACCACCCTAAACAAAAAATTTATTTAAAAATATAGTGATGGGAGCCCAGGTGCGGTAGCTCATGCCTATAATCCTAGCACTCTGGGAGGCTGAGGAGGGTGGATTGCCCTGAGCTCACAGGTTCAAGACCAGCCTGAGCAAGAACGAGATCTCATCTCTAAAAAAATAGCCAGGCATTGTGACAGGTGCCTGTAATCCCAGCTACTTGTGAGGCTGAGGCAAAAGAATCGCTTGAGCCCAAGTGTTGGAGGTTGCTGTGACATATGATGCCATGGCAGTCTACCAAGGGCGACAAAGTGAGACTCTGTCTGAAAAAAATATACATACAGGTTCGGTGCCCGTAGCACAGTGGTTACAGCGTCAGCCACATACACAGAGGCTGGAGGGTTCAAACCCAGTCTCAGCCAGCTAAGCAACAATGACAACCACAAGAAAAAATAGCCAGGTGTTATGGTGGGTACCCATAGTCCCAGCTACTTGGGAGGCTGAGGCAAGAGAATCACTTCAGCCCAAGAGTTTGAGGTTTCTGTGAGCTGCACTCCCTAAGGCAACACAGTGAGACTCAAAAAAAAAGTGAGTCTCAAAAGTAAAAAAAATGCATATAATGCATATATATATAGTGATGGGTATACTAAAAACCTAGATTTCTCTACTGTGCAATTCATCCACTTAACAAAAAACCACTTGTACCCCCAAATCTATTTAAATTTAAAAATATATATATTTATAGAAAAAAATATGTTTACCATAAAATAATAGAATTAAAATACCATGTATTCAATAAAAATAAGGTAGAAGTAAAGAGATAGTGTTCATATTTTAAGCTCTTTGAGTTGTCTGGGAAAATGAGAAAGATGTTGATTAATTTTGAATTTGATGATTAAGGATATATATTTTAGTTTCTAAGATAACTACTGAAAGAATGTAAATGGACAGCACCTGTGGCTTAAAGGAGTAGG